ATGGACGCCTCGCATATACAGGAGTTATATGCCAGATCGTTGCAGTAGAAAAAGTCTTCTCCATCTTCTGAATCCGTCTGCGTCTCAGGGAAGCGGATGTCACTTTCGTTCGGCGATTGACCCCCTGTCGGCCACCCGTGCGCGCGCCACGTACTTCGCCACTAATCAGCTGGGGATCCCTCATCATATGAGGAGGATCCCTGGTACTATATTATTTAGAGAAAGACAGTAGTCTTCAGCAAGTGGCGAATACCGCTTTATGCACAGTCATTTATAATTTTACACATTGGAACACCTTCAGTTATAAGAAGGAATTGCATGCCTAAAGCCAATGGATGCGAGCATTTGCAAGACATTAGTCGGCTCATTCGTTGTAGGATACTTGCCAAGTTGGCTGTTTAGAGGTTAACAACATGCGCTACATAGATTATGAGATCACCAATAGCATCTTGTGATCCTGCTTACCACTGAACTGTTTGAGCGGATAGCGAGAAAAACGCGAAAAGCATCACATATTTCGCTGCACAACTCTTTATTTGTACGTTTTAAGCAATAATGTAGTTAAAGGCATCTGAACTTAACCGCAAAATGAGTTTATTCTCGTATATAATGCTGAGATGTTTGTAAAACTCCGGACCGCAGGTGCATGCGGTGGGGAACGAACGCGCTGTTGTCCTTATCGGGGAGTAGCGCACTTCACCACCACACCATCCGGGTCCTTCGCTTTGTCTGTTTCTCAACTTGTTTATTCTTATCTCATCCGGATTAAAATCTCGCCCTCCCTCTCAGCCGGGATAATCACGTCGGAGACCGAACCCCAACTGTTCATTACATCTCGACATCCAGAAACACCTGCTAATCACGGTCACAAGGTAAACATTGGAATAAAATTATATTTTGGAGTGGTTCTCATTAGTTATTTTGAAGGATAAAGCTCTCGGCGTTGTTCAACCTTTGAGGGATGCGCCATGCATTCGACTTCATTAAGTATCGCTGGAGGTGACTGGATGCATATTTGGCCCTTAAAATGACTCACGGTGGCCTACCGATGTGTCGAACCAGTGTTTCCTTCCAGATTGGTCTGGCACCAATTTGCCGACGCCAGAGGGATGGAAGGCTTGGTGGGCGCGGGAAACGATTCCACGTGTGTGTCGCAGTGGCGGCTCCAACCACCACACGTACTCACGCTACTTTAGAAAATGGCTTCTTAACCAACCTCTTTTTCAACCTATTCGCAAAGAATTTTCTCAGTTAGAGTAGCTGTAATTTGATTGGGAGACTGTGGAATTCAGTATTAGTGCCACCTTGCTTAATTAAAGTGACAAGGAAGATTTATAGTCTGTGAAACTGAAATTTGTCTGCAGTGCTTCTCAATAGATTTAAACAAGATTTAATATCATAAGCCCAAGCTTAGTGTTAACGAAGACAAGAGACTCACTAGTGCATTATATAGAAATTAACCATTCTTTCATTGTCCATGATTAGCCTGCAACTGATTAATACTCTCGATCTGCAAGTAGCTTAAACGAGCTAATTGAATAACGATTACTTTCATCAGACATGTGCTCGCCGTCTTTAATCTATCGATGGAGAAATTGGTTACCTTCGCTTTCAGGCTGTAGTGAAAGATAATACTGGATGCACGAACTGCGGGACGAAGACCACAACCGTGTGGAGGCGAAATGCGGATGGAAAATACGAATGCAAGTAAGCATAGAAGTGACGAAACTGCTAAATGTAGCTTTTATTATATTACAAACGGATCACTACCAAATTATTTCTGCGTCGAAAATAGTGTATTCACCAAGAAAATACTTTCGTGCTCGTACACTTCTGGCTTATGGTCGGTAAAAAGCGGTTCCGAAAAGAATGCTTGAAATTGACGGACCTAAATTGCACTTTTGAAGTGAAAGAAAGCACTTTTGGAATAGTTTTTCTATGTATAGTATTTGGGTGAGGTTCTGTTCCGTTCCACAACTATCTATCTTATAACGAACGCATGAAATTTCAGCGCCTGTAACGTATTCTTCCGAAAGAACGGACAAAAGCGCCCAGCTTCAATGCGTCGTGACACAATCATTCGACGATGTCGCTGGTCGCGATGCAAATTATGCACAAGAGAAGCCCAAAGCAAACGCAGAAACTTTGAACAGTGCCAGAAGCCATCTTCGAATTCCATGAACAATCAAAAGAACACTGTTCAGGCGTCTAATCATGGTCAGTCACAATCAAATGCATTGCAGAAATTTTTTGCACCATCGGACGCTTCTTCTACACAACCCCAACCAATCTTCATTTCGACCAACGCTTACCGCGCTACTCAAAATGCAGTGGTGAAGAGCTGCACCACCGAGCGAACCGTGTTCAGTGGCATCAATATAAAACAACAAACGAGTTCGTCAGAAGTGGACCATCAGTTCAATTCCACAAATTGTTCTCATGGTGCCTTCTTAGGATCAAATATACTCGGCAACCACATGGCTGCAGTTGTTTCGAATCCAACCGTGAATACGATGGAACATGAATCGGTGAAAAAGGAGTTTAGTTTGACTGATCAAAAAACGGAAGACCATCAGAAGCCACCATGCGGAAGTTTCATCGGAGAACCCGTACAGCGGGAACTAGTGGAGAAAAACATATTCGACAATAATCAGTCTGATGAAATATATAGTGAAGATCATTCTATTATAAATGAAGAATGTCCAAGCAGTGGCCTTCTAAACCAATCGTTCGCTCCTCACAGATCTTCTGTTGAAGTCGACTCAGCGGATGCAGATGCCTCCGGAAATGGTCAGAACGAAACATTCTCCGTAGTTCAGGATGACTGTAATGAAAAGCATGGTGAGGGAACGTCTGCTTTCCCATCACACTAGCAGCTCTTTTATCTTTTCTACTGTAAATTTTTCCTGTTGTGCATCTAGTAAAGCTTTTTTTTCCCCATTTTGATGAGCTGACATAAACTGCTTAGAAGAAGTGTTTATTCAACGATGGTAAGGGTTTAAACTGATCCATCCTAATTTGAATGTTATCGTGAACAGTTTCGAAAAAAAGCCAACATTTTCTCTTATGGTCCATGTTTTGAGAAATGATGCAACTCGAAAACGTTCATGTTCACTTGGAATGAGGATCAATTCTGCGAGAAGTCGTCTTGAATGCCAACTATGAACCGACGCCGACCACATGGAACGAATTTGGTCGATAAGGCGATGTTGACAAACAAAGCGTTGCTGACTACTGAAAAATTTTAGTAATAAGTTAAGTACACCAAATCCTCAAATCGCCTTCATTCATTTTTTTTCTCAGGCAATTCCAAACAGATTTACTTGCTGAGGGAATTAATGGTAAGAATGACAACTGCATTATCAGAAAAGAATTATGTTATCATTTCACTTGGCAATGTATTACCTTCGGTTACTTATTACCTTGTGTGTGCTTATCAAGAAAACAGCAAATATGTAGTGTTTTGACCGAAATCAGACTACGTAATTTCATCGATTGTCAAACATCTGGGAAACATTTGCTCGGAAAGTAGTTGGCTGGCAAAATAAACCAATCCATTGAAGCCGTCAACAGACGTCCGTCGGCTTATAGCATGTTGAGATAAATAGTTTCTTCAACAAATTTGATTTAAGTGACAACATCCTTTCTAATCTTTCCTTTCCTTATCCGTTCGTTTCGCTTACAAAGCTGTAGTGCAAAAATTGTGCTGCCGAACGTCGGATTCGATCTGATTGACGCTGCACTATAAACGACAACAGACAATTTCAAAGAAAAATTCAGAATGTTGATTTGCTTTCCGTTTACCACTGTGTATTCGGATTTGATTTTGGCCTTAAAAACGACCGTTTAATTAGATGTGTTATGACGATAGTGTTGACTGAGTCGCCCTACACACTGAAGCTGTGCATTGCACGTCGTTGGCGAATAAGAGAGTGGACTAGGTCCACGGCGGTGACAGTTTTTTTGGCAAGCTCGCAGTATATTACAGCCTCACAACTACGTTCTAAGGAACACCTTCGACACTCCGCAGCTCTGCTCATGGCGCAGTCCAGTGATACGCTTTCACCCCACGACGACGAGCCAGACTACGAATTGCATTCTTGGTGGCGTGTCCTCTCTGAGCACTTGCGATGACGATGAGTTTTTCCTTTTCTGACTCTTTTACCTCCTTTTTCATGTTCAAACATGGCCGGAGCGCCGCACCCACCGTTGACGTGCAGATCAATGCCAATAATATACGTGTCCGTTGAGTCTGAACGCTGCGACATCATCACCACAAGAGGGGTGGTCGTAAACACTATCGCATATTTTTGACAGTTAGGATGACTTCGAACACATCGCCAAGCGCAATGAAAAAAATATTCTGCTTTTTTGTTGGATTCGCCGACTCCTTTATTTGAATCCCTTTGAGCCCCTTTGAACTCCTTTGAGCAAGGACTGAATATCTCCTTTTAGATTATGAAGCTTACATTGGATTATTGTGAATCATTTATTCGGCTAACGTATCGGCTATAGCTAACGCCTTCGTCTTCTTGAAATCCGCGTATATCCGAGTCAATTGTTCATAGCTGTTCATTCCTCTGATTTTCGTTAGCGTAGTCACATGTAGTTTAGTCTTCTGACCATTTTTTGGAGGCAACTCCTAACTTCCTCTCATATATACATCTCCCAGTCACTTGATTGCAGCCTTTTGGCCTGACTGTCTCGTAGAATCCGTATTAACGGGAATAGACCCACGCACGCATACATGACTAAGTCCTCGTAAACGCTGAATGCATGTGTAAATCGGCATAGCAGAAACCACCTACTTCTCAAGGAGCTTAAGGTGGTTTTTGGCACGCGATTAGCACACTATCCGCCACGTTGGGACGTTCTACGTTGCCTTGTGAATTACCGGAATAAAATCCCCCTATGAGAGAGAACCGTGGAAACACATGTTATGGCAAGATCAATACCAACCACGGTTGTATATGGCCTGCGTGGCACATGCACCACGTCCTGAGCGACTTCATAGAGGACGATGTCCTGTACACCAAATGGAAAAACGGGATTAGTAATGTAGACCACATGAAAAGGTGCAGATTATTATGGTTGAAAAAATGTTTTCTATATACCGATATTTCCTTGATTGTTAATGAGACAATAGTTTCCCAGATCACCTACAACATCTATTATTATTGGCCAGCAATCATCGTCCGTTTTAATAAATCACTTATACGCTACCTTCCCACAACTTCTTTTCGCACTCTTCTTCACTTAGTTTCAAGTCTTCCACTTCACTCCTCAACTCAACCCCGCTGTAAAGACACGGGAACCAAAGAATGATCGCTGCGATCATTGGATTCGAATTAATCTCGCCCTGGAGTGGGAATCCTGAACAAGAACATCATAGATCGGTACTGAATTAATTTTACAACTGATGTATCAGGTCGTCGATCAGCGCACTTTTCTACGAGATCATAAAATAGATTTGGAGGAGCAGCAAAGTGTCCATCAGAATACAGCTGGTCCGTAAACAGGATTTGGTGGACGGAATTCTCGCACAACTTCGCATATTCGAGCCCCTGTTCGCAAAGATCGATTGCGCTTTTTAGCAACTCCATTAGTTTAATCCAAGTCATGCGTTGTAAATCTCGACCATGTTTCTGAGCAAGCCTTCGGATATCGAGACAGAAATATATATGTTTCTGAACAAGCCTTTGGATACCGATAGCCTTCGGATACAAGAAACACCGGCCAAAGACAAAATTTCGACGAAATCCAACACGAAACTGCAGTCAACTTTCCTACCCACAGGGGAATGGGAGACACACCGAAAGAGTAGCCGAAATGAAAAGTTTCTTGTAGAAACTTCGAGCAAATATCACTGATAAGCACTAACTTAGTCTACGCTTCAGAAATCATTTACTGTAGATACACTTTTGAGAAAAGCAATCCATTAAGCCCTTGAATCGGACTCTTCTTCACGAATCAGAAGCATTTGACTGAATTCAATTTTCCCTGAAAAATATATCCAGTAAAAAGATGTTTTGGCCAAAGAATATGGAAACTCTCGTATTAACGCCTTACAGAATGTGGGTTTCTGGCAGCACGTGGGACACTTTCGTGATAGCAGTGACGTTTTAATCCACAGGGTGAAATCAGCATGATTTGGTCTCAGTGTTTTCTCTATCGAAAAATCCACGGCAACCAACAAGTTATTTCAATATAAAATTCACTGAGTGAAAATACAGGGGTATAGAAGCAAGTTCGCTGTAAGGAAAAACTGGTTGCAAAGCAGAAAATCTGTTTCAGATCCATAAACGTCGATAACTGTCTTTGTTTAAAACTTAGTAGTGCTTGAGATATCGCAACAAGAATATCGCAGAATTCCTCAGAAAACCGCTCTCTATCAGAATTTGCTACATGGTTGAGCAGAGAGAACCGCATGTCCATAAACCACAACCGAAGCCGCAGAAAAGCTCAACCAGGATGAATTCTGCGAAACAAGGCAGTTAAATGAGCTGGCTCATGCGATTTCTGAAGAGAAGCGTTCTAAGCATCAGAATACACGGAGGGATTTTCATTTTCCGCAAACGAACTGAAAATCGTCTGAAATGCGTTGGAGTCTGCAATGCATGTTTATCTATTGGACTTGCCATTGCCCGAACCTCCTTTAGTACATCATTCAGTATTCTGTGACCAAACAGGCAACTGATTTTGCAAAATATCCGTGATACAATTTTCAAGTTTATAGATTTCTAAAAAAAGGATTTCTCATCTATCTCTAGGATTTCACTATAGTATCACGCTTCGAAAATTGCTGCGCAGCTTCACCGCCTTCGAACCATTAACCCTCTCGTCCCTAGTTATCACAAAACCTTGGTTTGTTCTTATAAGTCACACTACGACCAAAAACTAGTCGTCATAGTTGCTTAACAAGTTATGACGATTATCTCTCTTTCAATTCGTGTGGCATACGAATGTTCTGCTCCTTCGACTTGCTCTTCTCTTCTCGTTCTTCTGTTCTTCTGCAAAATGCGGTACAGTGGTGCTTCTATTCACCTCTACGAAACCGTTAAATTTATCACCATCAATAGAAGAAGGACTTTTGCAAGGTTCTTCATGTTCCAAGTTCAATTACTCACGACGAAGTTTCTTGTATCGACGTTTCGCTGTGCGCTTGTTAACACTTTTTCGGTCCGGAAACTCATCAGTGTTCAGAGCCATTTAAGCTGCGTACGACCTAATTTGAATTCGTAAGAGCGCATTTCTTGAAATTTATCTTTCTCCAAATTCGAATCGTTAAAGTTTGCCAAAAACGAAAATTATATTTATTTCAGTCATACGACGCGAAACTGCATAAAATCGGCTATTCGATGATAAGCAATGGTGCAGCATTGGAAGGAAAACTCTTGCTGAAATATATGCGAGAAAAATGGATTCATAAACAAAACGTTGTGCAAACAAAAAAACAAGAACATGGCGAGACAATAAATGCACGGTGGAAGTATTGCGAACGAAAGTCAGTATTGACAGAAAAGAAGAGAATTGTTTCAGCAATCCACCTAAAAGGACGCAATAGAAGAGGGCAACAGAAGTTAAGATTAAATGCATTCATAATGAAATGGTGATTCTTGGGAATAAAGCTTACTCCATTTGGTAACCAATTCTACAGTAGGATAAAAACAGAAAGAGAGAAATGACGAGACATAAGACAGAGCGCTGAATTAGAGCAGTCTCCATGATCGCGCAGCAGAGCCGACGGCATTAATGTGATAAAGGTGAGGAGGCTGGGTCC